TAGACACATTTGGAAAATTATTATAAAGTGCTCTGTTCCAGAAACCTTGTCTCACATTGTTCATTTTCATTTCCTCACTATGAGGAATTGTGAGCCATGTGCCAGGTTCCTCCCTTATTGTAAAGTTCTGTGCATTTTGTTTATTTTGTTGGTCAAACTACAAGACTATTATACACGCGAATTTCATTCAGGCACACAATTCTTTAGAGATTTTGCACAAATAAAATAAGAACATTTCTCCCTCTCTGTGTTTGTTCCTCTCCAGTGTTACTTGAGAAGAGTTGGGATTTAGGTTCCTGCTTCAGAATTGATTGACAAGAACAGTAACAAAATTAAGAGCAGCTCTCTTGTAAAAATATAAAGGACTATGAGTTGTGGAGTGGTGGCTATCAGGGCTGTGTGACTCCCCTGCTGCATGCTCAGCAGTTTTTTCTTCCTTGCAATACAACACATTTTTCTCTTACCCAGCACAATCCATAGAGCTTAAAAAGAAAATAAATACTGTTGTCATTGAGAGACTTCTTCTGTGGCAAAGCTGTAAGGTTTAATCTTTGAGAAGAACTTATTAGAGGGGAAACATGCTTCAAGGTTTCCCTAAAACAGCTCCTCAAGTCTGTTTTTCCAAACGTGGATGTCTGTGCCAGGCTAAGATACCCCAAGTCCAGATGTGGCTCCCCCAGTCCCAGCGGTGCTCAGGGAGCCCATGGAGCTGGAATATTGTCCCTCAACCGCCTTCTCCACACATTGTGTCACTCCAGCCACACTGCACAGGGAGTCCAAAATGCAGGAGATCACAGGGATATTCCTCAGAGCAGAAATGTAAAGCTTGGGTTTTCATGAGGAGGAAAGGATGAAGGCAAGACAAAGGCAATGTCCTGTCTAAGGAGATGCTCTGGGTGCCCACAGGTGTGGAGCTGGGTTTAGGCAATACTCACCTCTGCCTCAGCACAAGGAATGCAGAGGGTGTTCTCATGCTGTGCCTACAGTTTGTTTTGTCTTACTGCCCAGTGCTGTTAAGTTTTTAGATCAGCTTAAATTTTAACTCCAGTGCCTCCAGTTAAAGTGATTATTTTCTAAATGGAAAATCCAAATTCAGGGGAAGGGAGAGTGTGATTTCTTCTGATTCTGGCAAGTGGAGAAATTAGTATACATTAAATCTTCCTTGCCTAAAAATGTTAGATCATTTAAGTTTTCCTCTTATTCTGACATTGTTTCTACTGCTTGTAATATGGAAACTTCTTTGATTTTTGTTCATTTGGATGAGCTGTAAAAAACTTGTTATTTCATCCTTTCCTTTCATGACCAGAGGATCTTTTTCCTCAGGTGGTTGAGGTTCTTAGGGCCCTTCAGGTTGCTCTTGCTACATAGTCATTAAAAACAACTCTTGTAATTTCTCTATAGCATTTGTTCTGAGAAGTTACTTTTTTGTATCCAGCACACACAACGTCAGGTCGAATGGGGCTTGAAGAAACCTGATCTGGTGGAAGGTGTCCCTGCCCATGGCAGGGGCTTGGAATGTGATGATCTTTGAGGTCCCTTCTTACCCCAAATTCTTCTGTGATCCTATGATTTGATCGGCATTCTTGTAGCCAGGCTGATGAGTGTACCTTCAGTTGGAATTTAAGAACAGCTTTGAAATGGGCTAAGTCTGCAGCTTCTGAGAAGCACCTGGCTCTTCCCAGAAACTGTCCTAGAGATTTAATCTCAGCTTTTAATTTTAGTTTCTAGGACGCTGCATATATTTACTACTTTGAGTAAAACCCTGAATTAAGCCGGTCAGTTTCTGGGAGTAAATATTTGTAAATAGCTACTTACTCCCTTGTGCCTGGGAAGCACTGTTCATGGGAGATTTCTTTATCAGGATTTAAAACTGAGGTCCTGAGTGTCTACAAAATAAACCAATATCTATCTGGGCCTTCACAAGAGAAGTGAAACTGGTCCTTTTTTTTTGTTTTTTAAACCACTGTTTAGTCTTCATTTAATCTGCCAAGGCATATGCAAGTTTAAATTGATTAAAGTGTTCTCATTTCCTGTCCTGAACATGTTGTGTAATAGACTTCTTTAGCTTTTTTTAATATTTGCTCTGTCTCACTCCAGCACTGGTGGGTGAAGTAATTACCACATCAGATCAGTTGGCAGGATGCCTTGAAATCTGCCAGGTTGGGATGTGATTAGAACCTGCCAGTGCAGTTTATAGGTCATAGGCAATAAATGCAAATTTATGGTGGAGAAAGGGGCATCTTCACCAGCTGTTACCAAAGGGTGCTGCTATGGTAATTTTCATGTTTCAGTCTAAAGACTTATTTTGGAACAAAAATATACTAATGGGTGCTATTTGTTTTGTTGTTCAGAAAACTCTTCCATATCTTCAGTCTCAAGGTATGCTGGTTTTGTGTTCCGTTTCTAAATACTACAAAAGCAAAGGATGACAATTTGTCAGAGTTTTAGGGATCTTTCCGTGGTTTTTGGTCAGTTTGGTGTCATCATCATCTAAACACAGGCAGGCTGGACTGGAACAGATCTCTTGGGTCACAGCTCCCTTGTTTGTGCCTTTTACAGGCACTGTCATATTGCCCTTTCTGTGAGTGCATTCAGCTGTATCTTAGTACTTGGGGTTTTTGTCCTCATTTGGGAAACTTACCAAATGTTGCAATTCTGAACGATCTTGTGATCTTTAAATTTCCCTTCTTGCTCCTGTCCTGTATAAACAGTCAGAAAACCCCACAGTTTTTGCAGTTTAAGTTTAGATGAAGCCTAAAGGCAAGAGCAGAACTGGACTCTGCAGACAAAAAAATTTGCTAGTGTCTCCTGGAGGTATGTTATTCCTTCTTAAAGCTTTGTATTCTCAGAAACAAGCTGCACAAACATGAGATCAGAAATTACGTGCTTGAATTAGCTAACAAATAATGCTTCCCGACAGCAGCAGCAGCAGTGCATAATCACATGCATTATACAAAGTATCAGACTGTATTTAGTACTAAATACTGCTTCTCCTTGGGCTCTTGTAAATCAGAGCTGTCTCGATGTTAAAAGACAAACACGGATTCAGATTGCAGATTCAGATAATTTGCTCCACCTACTCAAAAGCCAGCTATTTCAGGAGCGAATTTTAGTGAGTTACGAGCCCATCTCATGTTTCCAAAAGGCATTTCTTTACCAGTTTCCAGTGTTCATCCTATCACTTTGTCTTCTTTAGGTAATACATAAATCTATTAGAAAAGAGCGTCATCTATAACCTCCAAGGCCCTTTAGTGACAAGCCCCATTGTCAAAGGCAGGCACTTTGCCAGGAAACAGTGACTCCCAGAGAGAGTGTGCAAGGTTAGGGGGAAAGTGTACTATTGCCAGAGAAACTGTATTCCAAGTGGATTTGCCTGGAACAGCAACAATATCCAGTGACTGGTTAAATTAGCCACAGATGTGTTTTCTAGAACACTGTCCAAGAAGATATACAGTACTTTAGGGCTTGGTTCAGGCATAATGATCTTCTGAAGTCAAATCAGATCCAAGCAAAATTGCATGGGTACCAGGGAAGCTTTAAAGGAATTCTGTAATATGATTCAGACAAGTAGATGAATCAGACTGCTGCGAGCTGAGCGAGGAGCACGTCGGTGAGAGATGAGGTAAGAGGACTGCACAGCAGCCTGGTGTGAGGAGTTTGCTGCTAAAATCCAGGCTGTGGCGGATTGCCAGGGCCGGTGCAAGGGCGCGTTGTGCCGGCCACCTGTCCGGAACGTGCGTGCGGAGCCGCATCTCCCCGGAGCTCCTCCAGCTTCCCCGAGCCATGAGCGCTCGGCTCTGCGCTCGCCGTCCCCGTGTGCCTCGCTGTCCCCGAGCCACACCGCCCATCCCGCCTCTTGAGAGGATATTTACTGCTGAGGGCAGTGCATTTAGTAAATACTTGGAGAATTTTCACGCGTTGAAATCAGTACGAGTGAAGGCTCTGGGACTTTTCCTCGTACGGGTGAATTTTGTCTTGGCATCACAGCTCGAGCAGTGCATGGGATTTCGGTCTGGGATGGGTGTTGAAAAGCTCAGCTTCCCTCCCACAGATGAGTTCTGACTCTCATTTTTAAAGTTCAGATAAGCCAGTGGAAAGAAGTCCTGTTGAATTACAGATCTGCTTTATGCTCTAAAGTTCTGGGGAAACATAAGCAGCTTAGTTACTGTCGTAGTTGGAACAGGAAGCAAGAAAAGCTTTTGTTGTATTCTCTGACCTATTTCTTTACCGTGTTATTTACTTGAACTAAATTGGATATCGTGTATTAATCTAAATCTAAAAGGGCCTGGAAGGTATTCAGTCTAGAGTCTCTTTGTAATAAGCATTAATGGTAAAAGTCAGATTTACAAAATAGCAGTTGGCAAGTTTCAGAGGAGTTATAAATTAAAATTTTCAGAATAGAAATGGCATATCTTGTGTATGAAAATTTTTCTCAGTTTCTCTTTTTTCAGAGCTTTATTAAATGTTTTTAACATTTAATTTAAGTATTGGTGAAAATGTGAAAATGGATCTGTTTGGGTTTGCTTTGAATTTCCAGATACAGTTCCAAAGAGGAGGCAAATGCTGTGAATTTATTCAAAGAAATATTATTTTATTTTCCTTCTTATCTCTTACTAATAATTTGTTTTAATCAAGTGAATTCTACTGCTTTGTCTCTACTGTTTCCAGTTTAAAATCCTTTGAGGTCTGAATTCTGCTTCAGGAGGTTTTGCACTTCTATTCTTAGGAATTTTTGCAGGTCACATGGAAGGCTGTGTGTGTGTGCATGCATGCGTGTATGTCTTTGGACAGCATACCAATAATTAGAAGAACTCCACAAAGTCATGGCTTCGCATCAGGAGAACTCACAAAAAATGAGACTTGACTCTGTTTTCAGGTACAGTGGCTGGTTTTGCCCTATGGAAGCCAGACATTCTGACAGTGGCAGAATGTGTTTGTTCTAAAAGGGGAGTATTTTGAAAATGCTTGTACCTCTGGTGAAATTTCTTCTCTCTTTTCAGGGTCTTTGTAAACAGAAGTTTAGCCATGGAAAAGATAAAGTGCTTTGGTTTTGATATGGACTATACACTTGCTGGTGAGTATCTTCTTAAGTTTTTTGAACACTGACTTAGTTTGGAATACTGTTTCTTGCTGAGCAAAAAACAGCAAAAAGCTGATTGGGCTACTCCAGTTAACAGGTGCTTCTTCTGTTAGAAAATGTATCTTTCACTATTTGTTGCACTTGCATTTTAGGTGTTTCCCTTAAATTTGTTATCTGCAAGCTGTATTTGGTCACAAGCCATGTTACTGTGGTGCAGTTTCAAGTGATTATGGGTGTCGAGAAAATCAAAGCTTAATAAGTCGGCTTCCTTAGATTCCACTGTATTTTGACAGTGCCCCTTGTGCATGCTTGGCTTTGAATAACAAGGTGATTTCTTTCATCCTTGGTGCATATAATAGGCTACACCTTTGGCCAGCAGGTTCTCTTGTGTCCTGGGAGAGTAATTTTTGAATAGGTTTTCCTTTTCCCCCTTCCTGGGTTAGCCACATCAGTGACTCATTTCAAGAAGAGGCATGGCAAGGGGAGTGCCTTGTGTCAGCTGAATGAGTTAATTCATAAAGCTTTGCCCATTCCTTATGACAGATAAGCTTTGGGAGGTTGTATAAGATCTTTCAGTTTCATTAAATAGTTTGCATGACTTCTCCATCTTTCAAATATTCAGCAGGCAAGTTCCCTGAGACTTTTGATGAGAGGAAATAAAGCTACCATTTTCTTCATAGTCAGACTTTCATGATATGTATTTTAAGATAATTAAGATAATAATAATATCTTTTAAGAGAAGATAAAAAGCTCACTTCCACTTTCTTAAGTTATAGTATCACACAGGCTGGCTGTAACTGTGTTGGTGTCATGTACCGTCCTTCCTTCTTTCTCATTACCACTTCCAAGTTAATGGATAAAAAGTTCCTATCACCATTAATATTTCAGTTTAGAGTTGTTGTGTATATGAACTGAGAAAATGTGAGGTACAGTGTCAGGGTCACCTAATAATAGGTTAATGCAGTATGTCAGCTATGGTCATCTGGTTACTGTGTACTGAGAAGGAATGAGAGATGAGTAATGTGGCTGGGGACAGTGTGAGGGTCAGAGCTGGGGTCAGAGGCTAAGTGAAGGGCAGGAAGGTTTCCATAGGCTCATGGTTCAACTGCAAGGAGCAATTTTGGAGACTGTGGCAGGTAGTTGCAGTTTATATATAGATCAGTTCCTTGTGTTCATTTATCTACAAGGAAGTAGTTACATATAAAAGGTTCAACACCTTATTTATACATCTGTTAAAAGTTCTTGCCACTTTTTAAGTCATGAAGTATATTGTTGTTAATCTGGATATGACAGGAGGCACGTGCTTTCTGTTGGTGTTTCCCAGCTGTGACAGTCTTATGGCAGTGCTTTTAAGGGGTGCATGAAGTTGTTCAAAAGTAAATGCTTTTAAAAAAAGAAAAGAAAGAAAAAGTTGTGAGTTTCACTTCAGTAACAGAAAAGCAACTTCTGTGCCTTTTGCAAAGAAAGTGGCAGCACTTCCCAAGGACCCAGGTGATCCCACTGGGGCTGCTGTGAAGCATGAAGTTCATTGCTAAATTTCATCCTGGCAGAAGAAGAGCTTCAGCACTGTCCTCACTTATCTGAGTGTTCATTTGACTCAAATGTTCTTTGTTCCTGTAAACACAGAGCAAATGTGTAGGTATCCACAAAATGATGCTTGATTTGATGAGAGGACAAAATGCGAATTTTTCAAGCATCCTAAAGCAGTACAAGGGACATAAAAACATGGGGCTTCCAAGGCTGGAAGACCACAGTGCTCCAGTTGAGAAGGCTAAGTCAGTACATTTAGGGGAGTTGAGTGGCAGGGTGTGAGGCAGAAAAAGAAATTTCTGAGCAGAAAACTGTAAATCTAGACCCCTCTTGGGTAAGCTACTGGCCTGTGACTTCTTCCGTGGTACAACAGAGCTAATAGTTGCAGATCATTTCACTAGGAATTGTGAGAATGAAATTATGTTGGAACACCTTTTGCAGATGAAAAACATTATGACTGGTAAGTACTGTTTCCCTTTTTTCCACTCAAACTGGAAATTAGCCTTTAAAATTACTTGATTGTATTCTTATGTCTCAGAGTCATCCTTTCCTCTCCCTGTGGGCTTTTATTATCTGACCATTATTAGCTATTTATAGCTTTTGTACAAGAAAAAATACTAATCCACTGTGGGGACTTTAAAGATTGCAGTGTTAGAATATGATTACAATTATAATAAATTAATTGGAAATTATAATGGAGAAGTGGGACAAGTGAAGTATTACAGTAATATGCTATAGTTAGTGCATTCACGAGACCCTGTTGTGTTTTCTGATTGGTCACATTATCCTTTACCCACTCTTTCACATAGACATGCTACTTGTCTTGATTTAAAAAAAAAAAAAAAAAAAGGGAAAAAAAAACACCCCAATGTAAAAAGCCAGTTTATGTGTAATTTAACATCTGGAAATGGTATCTGCATACCAGATGGCGCATGCTGAGCAGAAGCCTTTTGGAGACCGTTCAAAACACGTAAATAGGCCAAGGAAAAGAGCAGAAACATCTCCAGTGTCATTAACTCCTCATCTAGTTTTCTGCATTTGTACTTTCAGACATTGCTAGGCGATTTTTCTGCAACACTTTTTAAAATATCCCAAGCACAATCTTCCTATTCAACAATTTAAGGCAGACAGAGTCATTGACCCTGCCAAAATCTGTATGTGACATCCCCTTCTATTGTGTGCTTTCACATCAGAAATAGTCTGATGACGGTAATACATTTGCCATCTCAGAAGAATGATTATTTTGATACACATTGAATTACCTGTCGTGTAAAGGAGTATTGCTGTCTTGTCTCTTTCTTCTTTCCAAATCAATGACCACTGGAAGCACCAAAATCTTCCTTAGGAGGTGGTTCAGTACCAGAAAAGTCAGAATCGTTTAATGTTTTTTGAACTTTAGAAGCTTGAGACAGTTTTATTCTTGTACCTTATGAATTTAAGGACACAGATCTACTTACAATAACCCTCTTTTCTGTCTAGAATAATCTAATTTTGGTAGGGACATGGCATTTCCATTTTGAAGTCTGTAGTAACAGCTACCATGCACATGCTGCAGTGATCGTGTTCTACTACCAGCATGTCTGAGAATGTCAGCTTGCCAACTGAGAGCAGTTTTAGTATCATCATGTTACATTATACATAAAGTACAATTTCATGTGTTATAGAGTAATATTTCTTAGAGTTACTAAATTAAAGAACCACTTAACTCAGAATTTAAAAGAATTCAAGGCTGTCTGATGCAGCATTTCCGCAGTGGTTTTGTTCGCTTTCAAGCCACAATTAGGTGAAACTTCAAATTTTTGTCAACAACTCCTGTGTTCCCTGATTGTGCTTGTCTCTCTCCTTGCATAGGGTTGAGAAATACTATTAATGGTTGGGTTGGGCAAACAAAGTCTTTTTGCGTAGAAGAGCCTGAAGGTTTTAGCTTTTTCTTCTGAGAAAGGATGGGCCCTAAATAGCTGAATTTGTAATCACAGTGATTACATCTAGAATTAATTTTGACTGCTGGGAAAATAAAATTAAAGCAAATTGAAATAACTCTCACAGGTTTTAGATTTCTTGTTTTCCCATAAAGGATTGTTGTTGTATTCTTATGGGTTGAGTAAGATCTATTACGTGTATGGAAAATCCCAAATCTCCCTAGGTTAATGTTATAGATACACTAATACTAGAGGTTCAGAAATCTGTGTTATTTATGAAACTGGCTGTCCCCTTCCTATTCTATCTGTTTGGGAATCACATTTAGTACATAAAATAATGCTTTTTAAAGCTAGGTGTTACTGGGAGGCAAGTGGAAGGAGCAGGAGGAGCAGCAGGGGCTGGCTGTGGTTTGTGTGCTTAGTTAAGTAGCTGCTGTTTAAAGTGTTGCAGCAGTTGACACAAGCAAGAGTCATCAGCTATTTCAGCCCTTGCTGTTAGTGGAGGTTAAGACAAGTTTCTGTGATGTTATGCAGCCCTTCATTCCCTGCCTCTGGCCTTGCTGCCTGCCAGCCTGGGAGCGAGGCCCTGCCAGTTCCCTACGGTGCCCTTGCTCCTTGGGAAGCCACGGCATTACACCCAGGGCTGAATTTGCTGTCAGGGCAGAACTGAGAATTATTGAATGATTCCTGTTTAAAATAGAGAGATTGAAGGTCCTTTTGTAGTTATTTTTTGTTTGCTAAATCGTAGTTTCATTTATTATCTGAATGATTCATCTCTGCTTATTTACCCAGACAGAAGATCAACAGTCACAAACAATTCTGGTCTGCCTCCCTTTTTTCACCAGTACTGTCAAAGCTGCCTGTGTTTTGGTAAATGAAAATGTTCCATGCAATCCAAAAGATTCACAGCCTTCTCTGTTTTGTGTTTACTGCTAAGTGCAGAAAGTAAAATAAGGGTATGTCAGTGGAGAGTCTTCACTGTGCACTCACCTGAGCCTGAGGAGTTGCTGACATCCATTGGAAATGCAGCAGGGACAGACTGGTTTCACACAGCATTTTATTTGGCTGCTTCCTACTCAGTGTGAGCTGCACTTAATTATTAGATCTGGATCCAAATAATGCAGGAGGCCTTGGCATTACCAGCTCTTAAATGGGACAGGCTGCACAATGAGGTGATGGATAGATGTCCCTTGACAGGAACAGAGCTAAAGCAGTGGGGTTCCCAAACTGGCTGTAATTTCACACTGGGCCATTGGCAGATAGAGAGGCATAGTAAGAATTACAAACTCAATTGTGCTTGAAAAGATTCCTCTGTGACTGCTCTTCTCCAAAAGTTACAGCCTTGTTGAAAGTTTTATCTTCTATATGAAGCAGATAAGAGGTAATATCAGTAGACAGGATGCTTTCATTTGGAATGCTTTTCCTGTGCTTAATTCATTGCTGCTTCTGTGTTCTCCTGAAATTGATAATAAAATTATCAATGGCTGCTGAAAACAGTTTCAATAAAAAAGGAGGGGAAATGAGGCTTGAAAAATACCGGTTTTA